GCCCGGCGGGCCGCGGAGGGTTCTGGGAAGGGGAGCGGCGGTGCGGAGGGGCTGTGGTGTCGGGCTGCCGAGCGGGGAGCGATGCCGGAACGCGACAGTGAGTGGGGCGGGGGGACAGGGCACACCGCGGGGCTCCGGGACACCCCAGGGGCCGGGGAGTCCGACCCTCGGGGGAGCGGCATGGGGGAGGGCGGTGTAGGCCCACCCTGGGCCTGGGGCACCGGGCTGCGGCGGGGGAGCGGGGGGGACCCCCCGGCGGGGCGCCGGGACACGTCCAACCTGGTCAGAGGAACAGCCCTGCTAGGGCAGGGGGTACGGTGACGGCTTTAGGAGTCGGAGGGAGGGGAGCTCCCGGGATGGGGCTCTGGGGCAGCTCAGGGGGTGAGGAGATGCTTGGGAGGGGGGGACTTGGGGATAAGCTGGGGGTGTGTTTGGGGGTAAACGCCTGCGCGGGGCACTTACACTGCGGTACGCTCGGGATGGGGCAGTAGGGTGTTTCTGGGGGTAGAGGGGATTCAAGGGCAGTCGCGGGACGGGGGGACGGGAGACCACCGGGGAGCCACGAGAACAGCCACCGGGAGGGTGAGGAGTCACTCGGGTTGGGAGGGCAGCAAGGTCCCGTGGTGGGCAGTGACACCAAGACCCTTTTGTCCCATGTGCCCTGGTGAGGCTACCCCCGGGTGTCAGTGGCCTGGGCTTGGCAGAGGAGCAGGGTGGTGGGTGACCACTGCTCCCTTCCCTGTTCCTGAGCAGGGACTAAGCTGGGAGGATTGTGGGGGCTGGCAGGGGGTTGAAGCCATGCAGGCAGACTCTGAGCGTTGTCTTTCCTCCTGTTCCCCAGATGAACCGTTCTCCAACCCCCTGGCCCCTGATGGCCACGATGTGGATGACTCGCACTCCTTCCACCAGTGAGTATGACACTGGGATGGGACTGGACTGGGGCTATGGGGCCCGAGGCCGATTCCCCCTTCTAGAGGCTGGGAGTGACTGGGGCAATGCAGCCTTTGGGGTCCCTCCATGGGGACCCGGTATCCAACTCCATCGCACAGGACGTGTTGGTAAACCCTCTGCCTCCTCAGAAGCAGTCAGGCTGCCGAAGCCTATTGGGGGATGACAGTTTCTGTTTCCTCTCTTCCTTGCAGGTCTAAGCTGACCAATGAAGACTTCAGAAAGCTTCTCATGACCCCGCGGGCTGCGCCAACATCTGCGCCACCATCCAAATCTCGCCACCATGAGTGAGTAGGACTGTTTCACAGGACTGTGGGACAAAGCATGTCCGCTTTCCCTCTGGGGTTCTGTTCCTGCCTGACTTTGCAGTGGGGTATCTAAAGGGGCTTTTGCTAATGAGTGTGCAGACAGGGCCCGAGGAGCAGACCTCAGCCTTGCTTTGTACTTGGGTCCATGCAAGCTGTACATGTATGTGTTAAGTGGGGAAACAGGTGGTTCAGGACTGCTGTAAATAACAGAGCGAGTCTTGCATGCCTGTTAAGATGCTTTGCACAAGAGGGAGATTTAGTTTTTGTTCTGTGAAAATCAGTGCTTTCGCCTCGTCTCCCTGCTGATAGAGTGGAATTAGGGAGAAATGGGACTGTACTGTTCCCATCTTTGAGCATCTCGGTGCCCTGCTGTGTCTGTGGGACTGTTCTGCCTAGCTGCCTGTGTTTGTATGGCTCTGCAGACTGTACGTGTGGTTTCTCACCCTTTTCCAGGATGCCCCGGGAGTACAACGAAGATGAAGACCCAGCTGCTCGCAGGAGGAAGAAGAAAAGGTAAATGGGGAAAGCAATGCATCAGCACTTGTTTTAGTACGTCACGTCCCTCCCTTGGAAGCAGCTTCTGAGCTCTTGGGCTACCTGAGAACCCTGAGTGGCCTGGATTATTTTGGGGCTTCAGACCCAAGCAGAGTGAGCTCAGACTGAGTGACTGTCACTGCTTGTGGGAACAGATGTGGGGTGGGAGGGTGGCAGCAGGATGGGGGTGAAGCTTCACCTCCAGAAGAAGCGGGAGAGGCTTTGCAGGTGTCTGGCAGAGCAGGGCAGTGGTGGGACATATACACTGATGACTGTGTCTTTTGGGGCACATCTGTGCAGCAGGACTGCACTTGACCTCTTCCCTTTGGACAGGAAGACCGAGCTCCTCTTTAGTTAGTCTCAGTACAGCAGTTTCATCTTGCCTGGTGTCCTCCAGGCATGTTGTGTCCCATGGTGCTTTAGTACGTTTTTGGGGAAGGGTTTGGGAGCAGAACAGGCATGTGTGGGGCCTTGGGGGTTGTTACTTGATGGATGCATCAAAAGTGTGAATGTGTCACTCTAACACTGAGCTGTTTTTCCAACCCCAGCTATTATGCAAAGCTGCGCCAGCAGGAGATAGAGCGTGAGAGGGAGTTGGCCGAGAAATACAGGGATCGAGCCAAGGAGAGGAGAGATGGTGTGAACAAGGACTACGAGGAAACAGAGCTGATCAGCACAACTGCCAACTACAGGGCTGTGGGGCCAACAGCAGAGGCGTACGTGACCCCGCGGCATGGCCTTGTCTAGCCAGTCTGCTCCAGAGGGGCTGTCTCGTAACTGCCTCCATTTTTGTTGCACAGGGATAAATCCGCTGCAGAGAAGAGGAGACAGTTGATCCAGGAGTCCAAGTTCTTGGGTGGTGACATGGAGCACACTCACTTGGTGAAGGGTCTGGACTTCGCGCTGTTGCAGAAGGTGAGCACGGATATCACTATGCTGCACTTCTACCCTGTCCCCTCCCAAAGGCGGAGGGGGTGGGCAGAGGGTAGCAGCTGCTACTTATGGGTGTTTCAATCTTGTCAGTCTGGGAAAGATTTATGAAGGATTGGGGAGTGTCATGGTTTAACCCCAGCCAGCAACTAGGCACCACGCAGCTGCTCACTCACTTCCCCCGGCAGTGGGATGGGGGAGAGAATAAGGAAAAGAAGAAAAACTCCTGGGTTGAGATAAGAACAGTTTAAGAGAAGAGAAAAGAAGAAACTAATAATGATAACACTAACAAAATGACAATAGTAATAATAAAAGGATTGGAATATACAAGTGATGCACAATGCAATTGCTCACCAACTGCTTACCGACGCCCAGTTAGTCCCCGAGTGGTGATCCCGTCCACCCCCACTTCCCCCAGTTTATATACGAGACGTGACATCATGTGGTATGGAATACCCTGTTGGCCACTTTGGGTCAGCTGCCCTGGCTGTGTTCCCTCCCAGCTTCTTGTGCCCCTCCAGCCTTCTTGTTGGCTGGGCATGAGAAGCTGAAAAATCATTGCCTTAGTATAAACACTACTTGGCAACAACAGAAAACATCAATGTTATCAACATTCTTCTCATACCTAACTAAAAAAGATAGCACTGTACCAGCTACTAGGAAGACAGTTAACTCCATTCTGTCTGAAACCAGGACAGGGAGCTAGTGGAAGTGTGCTTACTGGTTCTGATAGGCAGCAGTGGCATGGATTTGTCTGTAATGCATGGATTTACTCTGTGGCCAGGTACGAGCTGAGATTGCCAGCAAGGAGAAGGAAGAGGAGGAAATGATGGAGAAGCCCCAGAAAGAAACTAAGTGAGTGATTGAGGATTTTGCATTCCTGAGTGCAGCTGCCTCACAGAGAGGAGGATGCAGAGGAGGCATACACTTAGCATAATGCTTCTGTTTCTTTTCTGTTTCTGTTCAGGAAAGATGAAGATCCTGAGAATAAAATTGAGTTTAAGACCCGGCTGGGTAAGACTGTGTGGATGTGGCTGTTACCCACCTTGTGTTGTGCCATGAATGTGGGAGAAATCCTGGAGGGTGAATGGACCTTTAGTCATTGGAGAGGGAGAGTCTGAGGTATAGGCATCCTGAACCTGAGGGCTGGAGGAAGCGTGTCTCTTAGGAGGTGATTCTGATAACTTAAATATGCTTCACTATGGGTTTGTCCATTGCTCTTGTAAGAGTAGCTCTCCCACGCATTTCCTTCCCCTCCAGGTCGCAACATCTACCGCATTCTGTTCAAGAACAAGGCCTACGAGCGGAATGAGCTGTTTCTGCCAGGGAGGATGGCCTATGTGGTAGATCTGGATGATGAATATGCCGACACTGATATCCCAACCACGCTGATCCGGAGCAAGGCTGACTGCCCCACCATGGAGGTATGCAGCTAGTGTCCAGGTTGCTTGACTTCATTGGTCTGAATTGGCCAGAGCAGGTCTTGCCAGGAGGGGTTCCCTGTCAAAGGAGTTGGATACTTCCTCGAGGATTTCTCTTTCAGGCACAGACCACGCTGACCACCAATGACATTGTCATCAGCAAACTGACGCAGATCCTCTCCTATCTCAGACAAGGGACCCGCAACAAGAAGCTCAAGAAGAAAGACAAAGGTAGGAGCTGAAGGGAACCAAGTAGTAGGAGTTAATGCTTGAAGCATATACCGAGAGAATGAGATGTGTTCTGATTTGCTGCATTCCCCTGTGCAATGAGGCAGTAGACTTAGAGGCCAGCGATTTCCTACAACTCCCTGAGCACTGCGTCCTGAAGGCAGACTGTTCTGTGGCAGGACCACAGGGGACTGGCTGCTGAGAAATTACAGCTGTGAAGGTGCCTAGTGCTGCTCTACTCTTCCTGGTTAAGGCCCAGTTCCTTGGGGAAATGTCCCCTGTTAGGGAGGGACAAAATGGCTTCCTGAGG